ATTCCAGGCGTGGTACTCTTCTCCAGTTAACCACCAAAAAGTTGGAAGCAGGGCTGTGGCTCCTTTGGTAGGGCACTAGCCTTGCACACCAAAGCTCAAGAACAGCACCTACACTCTGAGTTCAAGCCCCAGCACCAAACAGTAATGAAGAGAAGTACATTACATTCTGGCACACTGACCCTCACATTCCAAACAGCTCCAGGGCCAGGTCACCCACCTACTCACTTTTCTTTCCCTTTCCCAATCCCTCCTACTTTCTAAATTCCTGGAATTCCTTTTGTGGTAGGGAATTCATCCAGAAGTTGAACAGTGTATAATTTTTTGTTTTCCCAGAGCACCTTTAACTGCTTTTGAATTATTTTTTTTTTTTTCTTTTTTTGGTCAGTCCTGGGGCTTGAACTCTGGGCCTGGGCGCTGTCCCTCAGCTCTTCAGCTCAAGGCTAGCGCTCTACCACGGGAGCCACAGCGCCACTTCTGGCTTTTTTTTTCTGCTTATGTGGTGCTGAGGAACTGAACCCAGGGCCTCATGCATACAAGGCAAGCACTCTACCACTGAACCACCTTCCCAGCCCCCTGAATGAATCAGAATTCTCTGATCACAAATACTCAAAGCATTTTCATCACAGATAATATAAGGACAAAAGATGCATTATTTTTAAGAGTAGATTTCCAAACAAGTTTTAAATTGCATTAGGATATATTCTCCATTGTGTTCTAAGCATTATATACCATAATTTAAAAAACAAATGCTACCCATTTAAGCACACTTGGGGGGATTGTAAGAAATAAAGGGATACTTTTAAGGTGTAATATAAAAGATATGGGCTATTTTTAATTCTCTCTTTGCTATGACTTTCAACTTTTTCTTTCTTTTCCTTTCCTTGTTCCAGTACAGAGACTTGAACTCAGGGCTTGGACATTGCCATTTAACTTTTTTGCTCATGGATGGTGTACCACTTGAGCCACAGTTCTACTTCCAGCTTTTTGCTGGCTAATTGGAGATGAGTCTGCGTTAGCTGGCTTTGAATCAGGATCCTCTAGATCTCAGCACCTCGAGTAACTAGAATGACAGATCTGAGCCACTGGTGAAGGGCTGACCCCAACCCTGTTTTCCCAGGTGCATACAGACAACAGGCCAGCCACCCAAGATATGTGCAGAGTGCCTGATACAGGAGGGCGATCCACCTAAGCCTGGCTGCAAACATTCCATTGTGACCCAACCAAAAGCCCCCCACCTCTCTAGACCTCTCATTAACCTCTACCTCCTTACTTAGTCCTCACAAATAAAACCCAACTCCTGTCCCACTTCTTTGCACAGTCTCCAAGCCTGAGGGAAGGCTGTGCCCCTCGATGCTCTATCTCAATAAACAGTCCTCCTCTGGGGAAGATTGAGTCCGGCCTGTTTCCTCCTTTCTCCTCCTCCTAACAACTGGCATCCAACACAATGCCATACCTTCCCTCACCAGAGTAACAGCCAACCTTAAAATGCTCAGCATAACAAATTACTACCAAAAGTCAATGGGTGATTTATAAAACCACCCACGTATTTATGAAGACCACGGAAAGAAGGTTAAAGACTCTTTTGTAAGTTTTTATCTACACCTTAGCTATATTCATGTCACTCTAATTTTTTTTAGATTAGCCACAGCTAATTCATCCTTTCTGGTAGGCCAGCAACTGGGGCTTCTCTAGGGCTCTGTGGCTGCCTAACAGCAGTTGAACACTGGGTCATTCCAGCCCAGAAGCTCTTCTGTTGATACCCGAGACCCTGTTGCTTTCAACAACTGCTTTGTCTCTTGCAACTTCAGAGACAGGTATGCAGCAGCAGCAGCAACAACAACAACAACAAAGTACAACTATGAAACTCCAGACCTTTTCAAAAAGCTTCAATTAAAGAACATTTATGAACAACCCTGATAATCACTGCATGGCGTGTGAAATGTTAAATTCCTTCTGGAGTCTCAGAAGCCCGGCTTGCATGCACGCATTCTGGATTTCTTCTTCCTCATGCTTGAGTTTTCTTCCCGTGTAGGCTGCAAGGGAATGGCAGCTTACAGGGAAGCTGTTGTTGAAATCTAAGGCTTTCAGAGGCTTTGTTCCTTAGTTGGAAGAACTACCCCCAGCATTAGCACAAGTCCTAAGATGGCACACCTTTGTTCTCCCCCAACAATTCTCTGAACTATGGATTATTCTTGGGATTTTTCAAGAAGGATCTGTCTTTACTGACCACTTTAAGACCAATTCTATTGATTTTTTGAGAGTTAGAAATACCAATTATTTGTTCAAAGCCAGCCTGGGCAGGAAAGTCTGGGAGATTGTGATCACATGACTGAGTTTCTTTCTCTCTCTCTCTCTCACACACACACACATTCACACACACACAGAGTACCAATTACTTCAGAAAGTTTTCCATATTCCTTATAGCTTCAAGAAATTTACATGTCTAGATTCCATGACTTAGCTGTTCTTGTGGCTTGCTTAGGATTATTTCCCGTAAGACAACCAGTCTGTCCTTTGTGAGTTTTTTGGGGGGTAGGGGTGGTGGTGTTGGGACTGGGACTAGAACTCAGAACCTGGATATGGTCTCTTAGCTTTTTCACTCAAGCTTGGAACTCTATCACTTGACCCAAGTTCCACTTCTGTCTTTTGCTGGCTAATTGGGGTAAGAGTCTCTTCCTGGGTGAGCATGTTTAATTTGTGCCCCAGTTTAGTTTCAGCTTAACCCTGGACCTGTGGGTCTCCAGGCTTCAGGCTGTCATGGCTCTGCTGCTCACAGGTGGGCCTCACTCCTAGCAACTTAGCCTGGGCGCTGACCCTGAGCTGTTTCACTCAAGGCTAGTGCTCTACCACTTTGAGCCACATTGCCACTTCTGGTTTTCTGGTAATTAACTGGAGATAGCAGTCTCTTGGACTTTCCTGCCTGGGCTGGCTCTGAACTGTGATCTTTAGGCCTCAGCCTCTTGAGTAGCTAGGGTTACAGGAGCGAGCCACCAGCGCCAGGCTGTTGTTTTTAATCATGTACCTTGGCAGATATTTGCAGTCTATATCTCCTTAGCCTTTCAAATTGTAATTAAAGAAAACTGGAGGGAAGCCACAAACCGACTCCACATTCTAACAATTCCTACTTCATACTAACAATCAAAACCGTTAATGATATAACTGATGAGCAGTTGAAAAGGTCAGGTTCGGCATGCACAAGGTCATCTGCACATACACAAAGGAATTGACTAAAGGATGGTAGTATACTCAATGGATGATTCCAATGGTGTAGCTCCTTTGAACAACTAAAAGTTTAACAAAATGAGTACCAGAAAACTGAAACATGTGTTACAGGGGAGGTCACAGGAAGGGGCAGACAACTGGAGGGAGGAAGGATGGGTGAATAAGTGATAATATTCAACAGTACAAGTGTGAAAACTGAACCAGGGAGGGGTGGGGTTGGGAGAGATGGGGGAGAACAGTGGAAAGGATGACACTGAGCAAATGCATTGTACTCAGAAACTAACAGCTTGAATTGAGACAACATTGAACAACTACATGTTTTGTTAAACAATACAGATTTGGAAATTAAACAACCAGCTCTGCCATTTACTTAATCTAGGTGGAAATGTGAGGGTTACTGGGCTGCTTATATAGTGAAATGGGAATTAACATACCTAGCTCCCAATTCTCTTTTTGAAAATGCACATCACAGAACATGATTCTGGACCCAGTGTAGTCACTCAGCTAACACTGGCTTACAATCCTCAAACATCATCTTTTTTTTTTTTTTACTTTTCAAGCATGTAAGTATTAATGCTGGCCTGATGGTTTAGGTTTCTTTATAGAAAGGCTCTACAGCTTAGGTTTATGTCTATAGTCTGGGTATTTGTATACTTTTTTAAACTCTAGTTGGTCATTGACCAAGTTATGTCCATAGTTCAATAGTGTGGAAAAAAACTGATAACCCAATTTAAACTTCTGTTTCTTAATCTTCCCTTTTCTCTGTAAGAAACCTACAGCACTTTAAAATAATGATTTAAAACAAAACCCACATGACACATGTTGGTAGCTCAAGCCTGTAATCTTAGCTACTATGGAAGCTGAGATCTGAGGACTGCAATTTGAAGACAGCCTGTGCAGGAAAGTCCATGAGCCTCTTTCATCCAATTATCCAGCAAAAACCTGGAAGTGGAATCTGTGGCTTAAATGGTAAAGTGCCACCTTTCAGTGAAAAAGCTAGAAAGACAGCACTCAGGGTCTGACTGAGTTCAAGCCCCAGTACTGGCACAGGAACATCCCAAAACCTCACTAAAGCTTCACGCTGTCTTTCTGATCACTTGGGCAAGGGAGAAAAGGCTGCATGACATTCAGCTAATTTTCACAACTGGTTTGCCATCCTCCCCTCCTAACTCTCCCTAACCTACAGCTAAAACTGTGGGTTTCATGTTTTGGATACAAGCCCTGCACCCACACGTACATGCGTGGCACTGGGTGGGTGGGGACAAGCAGCCTGCACTACAGCACAGGATGCTGCCAGCCAGGCCAAAGTCCCCTTCCTCCTCCTCCCAGGAGTGGGGCAGCGCCAGGGCCAGAGCCTTTTACCCAATGGGATCACTTCCTAGGTCAGACTGCTCTGGACTACCTGGGAGAAGTGGCACTCTCCTGAATTACAGGGGATAGGAAGGGCAGTGGGGTTTTGTCTTTCAAAAGAATATTCATGGAGGTAAGGATTTTATAAAGAAAAAAAAACACAGATCATGCACAGCATTCTGCTTAGCTGCAGGCAGACACTCCGGTCTCCGGATGAACTCCTTTGCCTCGCGTTCTTCCACATGGAGACGCGCACGTAGCATGCACACCGACGACGCCCTGGGAAGACCCCGCCAGGGGCATGGCGGGACCGCCGCTCCCCGAGTGTGCGGGTCCCCAGTCCGGAGGTGGCACCGGCAACAGGTGGGCAGAAGCCCGGGGCCGCACCCCGGAGGGCGGCGGGTCCGGACGGGGTGCGTTCCACTCACCGCGGGCCACGGAGCCCCGGCCCTTCCTCGCCAGGGTCTGCTGCACCTGCTCCTGGATCCGCAGGCTCCGGGCCGCCTGCCCGCTGCGGCCGGCGCTGCCCACCAGCTTCAGCTTGGCGTCGGAGGGCAGCGCCAGGCTGGAGCTGTCCAGCTGGCCCAGGATCTGCTGGCCCAGGACGGTCCGGATGTAGCCGCACTCGGCCAGGGAGCCGGGGGCCGCCATGGCGTCGATGGCGGGCGACGGAGTGAGAAGCCTGGCCCAGGACCGACCCGCAGAGCCGCGGCGGAGCTGGGGGCCGCGCCCCGCCCGCTCGGACACGCCCCGCCCCGCCCCGCCCCGCCCCGCCCCGCCCCGCCCCGCCCCGCCCCCTGGCGGCCCGCCCCGCCCCCTGCGCGGGGGTGGGGGTCGGATGGGAGCCTCCGCGCACGGCCGGCCCCGGGGGCGGGGCGCGGCTCCGGCCCGCGGGCGCGCTCACTCAGGTCGCGAGGGGCGGGCGGGGCGCGCAGCGTGGGGCGCACTGCGGGCGCGGCCCCGCCCCCAGGGCCGCGGGCGGGGCGCCGCGCTGTCGGGCTCCGCGGGCCACGCGGGCGGCCCTCCCGCGTCCGCGGGCCGTGAGGGGCCCCGGGGTCGGGGGAAGCCGCGGGAGGACCGCGCGCCCGGACGGCGAGGTGAGGCGTGGGACTCCGAGAGGAGTCTCCCTTCCTCCCCGCACAGACGCAGCCCCGGAAGCCAGTTCCTCCCGCAGCGCTGCTGTTCTCCCCGCAGACACACGCTGTACCCGGCGCTCGCGCTTGTCCTCCTCGCCTGGGAACAACACCCACGCCGGGAACCGGGGAGAGGCGCTGGCAGGGCCGACTGTTCCAGGCGATCCTGTTGAATAGCCCTGCCGACCTTGATGCGCCCGCTTCACCCCCAGCCTCGGGGCGAGGACCGGTGCCCTGGCGCCTCTGCCCTTCCACCGCAGCTCCCGCAACTACTACTTATCACTCCTCCTCGTGTTTCACACGCAGTTCAGTACCGAAAGTTCGAGAGCCAAGCTCCACAGAAAGGGCCTTCCACCTTAATGTCTACCACCTGAGCCATTCCCCCGACTTTCCTCTTTGGACTTGAGAGGCAGAAAGGAAAAGATTCGTTCTTGGCATTGAGCTGCTCTTCCCTTGGAGCACGTGGTCGGTAGGTCCACTTTCCTTAAAATAGTTGAATGGTGCTGGGCTCTGGTGGTTCACAGGTCATCCTAGCTGCTCAAGAGACTGAGATCTGAGGATCGCAGTTCAAAGCCAGTCCCAGCAGGAAAGTCCCTGAGCCTCATCTCCCAATAAACCACCGGAAAACACGTGGTAGCGTGCTAGCCTTGAGTGAAAAAGCTCAGGGACAACGCGCAGGCCCTGAGTTCAAGTTCCATGAACACCATCACCACCAACAAAAATCAGTTGTTGAGAATGCACCTTTCCTCCACACCTCTGGGAAGTACATGGCTTCCTGTTTCCTGCCAGCAGTAAGACAGTATAGAGCAAACCAGGGCTAAAGGTCTGGACAAGTGAGAGATGACCATGTCACCACTGTTTCTCAACAAAACCACATGGCCAAAGGTTGTGTGGAATGTGGATCTTGTAAGCAATTTCTCCCAGCTCCAGTCCTACCAGTGTTTACGTGATGTATACCTTGTGCACAGCCCCATTATGCAGCCAGATGTAAACGTCCAACAGCGATGCTGAGATTTAACTGAAAACCAAAAGAGATTTAATTGAAAACTGAACTTGAGGGTCAAATAATTGTAGACTCTGACCAACGAGCTCTGTTCCTGGTCCCCTCTTTCCCAAGGTCTCTTTTGGCAGCCCCAGGTCTGCAGCTTTGAAAGGTGATTTCAGTACCTGCCCCTGGGGCTGGGGACATCTAAGTCATCACCCTGATTTCATGTGCCTGCTGATAGTGACTTAAAAGCTCAGCTCTGACTCCATCACTATCCTGCACTGGGAAATGGAAAGGAAATTTTCTTTTTTATTTTCTTTGTTGGTACTGGTCCTGGAGCTTAAAATCAGGGCTTTCTCTCTCTCTCTTAAAGCTGTGTTCTACCACTTTGAGCCACAGTGCCACTTGTGGTTTTCTGGTGGTTAATTGGAGAAAAGCCAGCCTCGCTTTGAACCACGATTCTCAGATCTCAGCCTCCTGAGTAGTAGAGATTACAGTTGTGAGCACACAGTGCTGGCTCTCTCTTTTATTTTAATTAGCCTAACTTCGCTTTGTTTGCTCTGTGTGTGTGTGTGTGTTGTCTTATTCCCTTTTTTAAAGTGTGATGTTGTATGATACGACATGTACCTATTAGGTAAGCTCCAGTCACTGATCACAGGAAATCTTGTTCACATGTACTTGGGTGACTGCATGGGAGGAAGGGGCACAAAACATAGCGTTGGCTTACCCTCTGCAAACGTCCTGCTTTCAAGAAGTCTCTATATTGTTGAATGGGTGCAATAGAAGTAGGGATTCTCCTAGCTAGCTACAGATCTGTGATCTCAGTTTGAGGCTAGCCCAGGCAGAAAGGCCTATGAGACTCCAATGAACCAGAAAAAAAAAAAAGCAAGACGTGGAGCTATGGCTCAACTGATAGAGTGCTAGCCTTGAGCAAAGAAGTCAGGGTCATCACTCATATCCTGAGTTCAAGCTCCAGTACTGGCATGCGTGTGCATGTGTGTGTGCACACAAACTCGCAAGTTCTATGGGAAAAAAGTTCTCTATATTCAGTGATGAGTAATCATGGAAATGTCCAACATCCCACAACATCTCCTGTGGACTCCCTGCCTTCAGGCCTGTGGTCACAGGTCAGCCTGCCACATGGATCAGCAGTGACACACACCTCCTGAACAAAGAAGTCCCTCTGGTGACCACCTACCTCCCATCTCTGCTCCAATTTTCTCTACAATGCTGATCTTTAACCCATATGTGCTATGTTCTTATGTCAGTACTGTCAGCCTAACAAGTCATATAACATGTACAGCAGATAGGCTTAGTTATAGTCTTATAAGGGAAAAAAACCCCAACCAACCAAGGTAACATTTAAATTTGTTATAAATGTGCCTGTCCTGGGCTTGAAGTAAAGACTATGTGCTCTTGGTTAGGTTTTTGATTCAAGGATGGCAATCACAATTTGAGTCATGGCTCCATGTCCAGGTTTTTGGTATTTAATTAGAACTAAGTGTTTCACTGAGTTTCCTGCCTGGGCTGACTTCCTGCCAATCTCGGCCTTCTCAGTAGGATTACAGCCACCATAGCCTTGTTCTGAGATAACTTTTCAAGAGAGCTCTGATCACCTAGTTGGAGCGTGGAAACAAAATGCTAAGAATCCCTTTCTGGCATCTGGCTGTTCTGTAAGTTGTCTAGTACTTAGATTCACTTTGGAAAACATGTCTATTATTTCTTTTCTTTCATTTACCAACAAAATCTGATAAAAGAAAAAAAAAGCAAAACCACAGTAAGTAGCATCAATTATGATGCTGTGGGTTCCGTTCTTTTTGCTGGGACCCTAAAATAAAGGATTTTCTTTTCAATTAGTTTTAATCAATTTATCTTTTTGAGCTGGTACTAGGGCTTGAACTCAGGGCCTCATGCTCTTGCTTAGATTTTTGCTCAGAGCTGGTGCTGTACCACTTGAACAACATCTCCATTTCCAGCTTTTTGATAGTTTGTTGGAGATAAGAGTGTCTTGCATTTGACTATCTAGGCTGGCTTTGAATTTTTTTTGGGGGGGGCAGAGGGAGGAGGTTGTGGGTCTTGAACTCTGAGTCTGGGTGCAATCCCTCAGCTCTTCAGCTCAAGACTAGTGCCCTTACCACTTGAGCCACAGTGCCACTTCTGGTTTCTGGTGGTTTACTGGAGATAAGAGTCTCATAGACTTTCCTGCCTAGGCTGGCTTTGAACTGTGAGCCTCAGATCTCAGCCTCCTGAGTAGCTAGGATTACAGGCATGAGACATTGGTTCCTGACTTGGCTTTGAATCTTGATATTTAAGTCTCAGCCTCCTGATTACAAATATGAGTTACTGATGCCCAGCAGGATTGAGTTTTGACCTAATTTATACACTCTAGCTTTGAAACACTAATCCTTGTTTTCAAATCTACAGTTAGGATTTCCTTAGAATGATTTTTAAATTTCGGGGAACACCACTATGCAACCAATAAAGTTCCAAGAGGAGTAAATAAATATAGCTTAAGGCTTAAGGCAGAAATAACACTTTAGTGGAAAATATTAAAGAACATTAATGGCTCTCAAATCTTTGATTTATGTTAAGAAAACAAAATCCTAACCTTGGACTTACTAAAAACATGACAACATGCATCAAGCTGTTTCCTACACTTCTAGGGAATTAATGTCAATTGCTTTCCAAATATTTCCTAAATCAGTCTAAGGGGCCTGGCAGAGAGAAAATCTAAAATAACCTTCTGAATTGATTTCCACTTTTAGCAAGTGGATATGTTGCCAAGGCAATCAGTAGCAGTTTTGTCATCAGCTCTGTAAACTGAAGCTGGATCAGGTCTCCAAAAGGAGGCTGTGAACACTGAGGTGCTGAAAACCACTCTCCATGGGTACTGAGGGCTAAGGTGTTTAATTCACATGTTCATCTTATCTGCCATTTGGGGTATATTGTGAGTATATAGGTCTGCATCCTATTCTTTTTGAGAGGAACTCAAATTTGGTGTGGGAGGTGGAGACTAGGTGAGCACTGGGCAGTAGGCTGGCAATGAGTAATTTGTGCACAGGAAGGCAGGAGTTGAGTAGCTCCTATAATCAGGACTCTGACCTGGGCACTGGTGGCTCAAACCTATAATTCTAGCTACTCTTGAGGCTAGGATCTGAGGATGTGGGTTTGAGGCCAGTCCTCAGAGACAAATCCAAGAGACTTATCTCCAGTTAACCAGCAAAAAGTTAAGGAGTGGCTCAAGTGGGAGAGTGCCAACCTTGAGCAGCAACAACAAAAAGCTAAGTGAGAGTACTAGGCCCAGATTCAAGTCCCAATATCAACATACACACAAATTTAAATATATATAAATATAAAATAATATAAACTGTATAATTGTTACATATAATATTTGTATAACATGCAAAATATTCACATGTAAATTTAAAATGTAAATATGTAATCTATAATAAAATATATGTACAGGAATATGATATATATTGCACTTCATATATTTGAAGTATTTGGGAGTTGAATATAAGGCCCTGTTTTAC